TAGGACTCTCCTAGTAAAATATTGGTTAAATACGATAAAACGTAAATATGAATTAGTTAGTGAACAGGTGTATAACTGATCACTAGGCTATAGGCTTCACAATATACCATGAACAAATAACTATCGAGCTATCAAAATTAATGTAAGAATTAAAAGTCAATGACTTTTATTCAGGATGAAGAATGAATGAATGGATAAATAAATGGTCATTAAAACCATTTGTAATTACAATTTACATTAACACACTGACCAATATCAAATAATGCCACTATCTTCTCATTCTATTTAGAATTTACGGTCAATTTCAATTTAAAAGTACAAAAAAATGTTATGTAAAAGCACAAAAAAAGAATAAAATAATAAATGATTCCATAATTTTTTGGTGAATTGTTTAAAACATTCATATGATAATGTCTTTTATTCCTTTGGTAATATGTTGTGAGATGGATAGGATATTTTTATCAGTAAAGCTTTTATTATTATCATAACCAATGATTAGTATCTATAAGATTGAAAATTTTCTCCGAAAAAAATATTAATAAATGAAAGTCAATATATGGAAGTGTTTATTAGAAAAGTAATTGGCAGTATTTATATTAATTAATAAGCATATTTAAAGATAAACATTCAAAATGTGAATACAAAGATACAATCTTACTAGCTAATTAACTAGAAATTTATGTTAACAATTTAATTATAATGTTTTAAGAAGAGTTGAATACTGGTTAGAGCAGTAGAGTCCAAGACGAGTTCTTCATTCTATTTTGGACTCCTCAGATAGATTTACCTACTATATCCCAATGTTGATGTTCACTTTGGGGCCCGATCTATTTGCTTATTTATTTGAACACATAAATATTGGTACAAAGGTGAAACCTTCGTGTCCACCAGCCCAGTTAAAGCACCGGACATTCTCTTTTCGTCCTCTCAATTTCGTAAACAACACCCCCACCGTGAGAGGCAATGAGTAGGACTTCCGTGACAGTGGCTGTATACGTATGGTCATGTGAGAGCATTTCGAGAGGGCGAGGGGACTCTCCCCACCCTTGACTGTACCAGGGTATTTAGGGGCCTGGGACTCGAACCCAATACTTTTTACCAAAAGAGTTATTCACAGAGTTAATGAGTCCAGATAGACCCTGGCTTGTGAAAAGGGGATGAAATTTAATTTCTCTTTTAAGAGTTATAATCTTCTTGTCATTGATGTCATAGACTTCAATTGATCAATTTCTTTTTGGTATATGTACATCCTGATCAAATTGTCTTGATGGTGCTATTTGAGCCATAAGCATTTAATCATAGTTCTATTGAAATCATAAACTAATTTAAGTTTAACAACCATTGAAAACCTGGAAGAACTGAACGGCTATTTTGTTCGAGTGTGGAAATCCTCAACAATGTGATCTACGGACTCCACCAGCAGACATAAAGTGATTGTCTAAATTAGATCGATTAGTGATTTCAATAATATTCAACAATCACCATGATCCTACAATAATAACTACAATACGATTGTCCAGTTGAGTTCAAAAAATATATCACAAGGGTATGATAGTTCCTATTATCGACAAATTATAATTTAAATTTTATTTATTTCATATTGTAACGTTTAAAAATGTTACTATTCTCTTCCTATAAAATATCAGTGTATGTATTCAAATGAATCAAGGGTTTTTTATTAAGCATAAAGTAATGATTCGTTTTTATTGCAGAAAAATAGTCATACTGGTAATATTATTCCCTTTTTGACAATGATTAGTTAAGTAACAAGAAATGATACTTTCTTAATTCTTGATTTCGTAACAATGGAAAACTGAGTATATATAAATTAATACACGAGATAAGCAAGGAACTATTGGATACCTACTTACCTACCTTAGTAAACAAGACCACTTAAACTATTTACAAAAAAATAAAATAAAATAAATGATGGTTGTAAAAAATTACTTTGATAATCTGTTGCTTACAATCGCTATGATTTATTAATATAGATAAACGGGCGAATAATATGATATTGTCTGATACTCAGACCTCTATTAACCGCTTATTAGTTTCCCAGAACTCTCTCAACCTCAATCTCAAGTGGAAAACAGAAAGTGGGGAGTATGAACAGAAGCTTTACTTCTAATGTTCTTTTATGTACGGGGGTTATGTATAGAAAGTAAGGATATTTATAAGCTTACTGGAGATTATAGGAGCTTCTGAGACCATCTATGATCTGATAGCAGATAACAAAATATTTAAGTGATATAGATTTTATACTCAACTGTAAAACCTACATTTATTAGTGTTTTGATAAAGAACTAATTGTAAATAAGTATTTCTTGAGTCAACTTGTATTTTGAATCTACCTATAGTAATATTAAATACACTGAACTTTTGGACTAGCTTAATACCAAACCTTTTTCTCCTATGCCTTAAATTATAATTTGCTTTATTCCCTTTTGTTTTATATCTGAGTTTTACTCATCTCATTTATATTGTTTCCTTCATTTATTGTTACATAACCTTCTGTTACATAACATTCTGCTGTATTTAAAATCGTGTTTCAATGCTTTAGTTTAATTTTTATCTAGTAATTTTTTTTAACTTCCCAACATCTATGGTTAGTTTTTATTATCCTAAATCTCTATATTTCTAACGTAGTTTAACCCATACCTATATGATACAAAATATGTATAAACTCGTCTTATTTCTAATGATTTATACCATTTTGTGTTTAGGTTGTAAGTATTTGAAAAAAATCCACAGAAGATAAATGAGAATTATTGATTTATTGTGCTGTAATCACTGTTATTCTCAATACCATTTATTCTTATAGAGTGCCAGAATCTATTTGTCGATTACGAGTGTATAAAAACTGAAAGTCTACAATTTCGCATTTAATCATGAAATTTCCCTTCCAATTTTTTTTTATTATTTGACAAAATATACGAAGAAAAAGATTATTCCTAGTCACAGAAACATGGATGGGGAATATTGTGAACAGACTGAAGTGATAAATGTAATGATTTAAATGATTAGCTCTCTCCGCGATACCTAAAAGTCCTGGGTTCGATACTTGGTGAGGTCGTGGATGCGCACTGTTGAGAAGCCTCATGCTGGGACGAGACAGACGTCAAAGACTTCTTGGTTCTCAATAGTTCTCTAACTACGATTAGTTTGTGATGTAAATCATAGAATTTAACAATCTCCACGATCCCATTTATTAATTTTCATAGTCAGATTTTTTTTAAAAATTTATGCCAATCAAATGAGCCTGTTAGATAGAGTTCAATAAAAACAATTAATTACGAATTTTCTCATTTTTGCTGGAAACACATTAACTATCAATAATACGTATCACATGACAACCAAATTCATAATGATAATTGAACTATATTGGTAAAATAATGGATTATTACTCATTAATTTATTTAATGCACTATTATCGTGTTATTATATATTAGAATTTCAGTAGAAATAGCTAACTATCAAGAAAATCTGTCAAGCAACACACCACAACCGCGTTACAAAAAGAATCACATGATGTTATAGTCAGAGATATTAAAGTTAATTTTCTAGAGTGTGTAAAACATCAACAAAATCTCAAACACCACACAACCTAAGGGGTTACAGTTGCTGCCAGGATGCCTAAAGGCAATTCACTTTTCCAACTAGAAGATAGGAAGTTCGTATAATAAACAGAATTGGTGTAGACAAAGATCATTTAATAATTAAATTTGGAAAAACAAAACATACATATGACTAAATACAGAATAATAAATATTGATCTGAGTAATCAACAACTAGTTTGATTCATTATGATGGTATTGCAACTTATTTTTTCCACTATTTAAACTAGATCTAACTAAACTTAGCAATGGGTCAATGTTTCAGTGACTCATGTGCACCCATCCAATTGTCTTCAGTTTTATGTATTCTAGAAGACAGACCCGTTTCTAGGAGGGGAAGATAACACAATGGACAAATAATTGGTCAAGAAATGGATTTCATTTTGAAAGAATTATACAGACCTCTAAAACGGAAATAGTTTGAAGTGAAGGCTACAGTATTATAATTCAATGGATTGAGGACCTTACTGTTAGTCAGTACATAAGGATTTGATAGAATTGTCAAATATCAATATATTATGAAATTAATAAATATATAATCATGTGTAATATTCTTTAATACGTAAAGTGTCTAATTAGTTCCGGTGATTTATATTATAAACACTCTGAAATCTCATCTCTAATAATGATAATAATAATAAAGTAAGTACATACACATTTTATGAGTTGAAATACTACAAAGAACCTACAAAAGATGATTTACAAAATACCACCAAGTGTATTAATCAACAGAATATACATGTATTCTACCATAGATTACAATGTTACATGACTAGAATACTATGTGTATTTAATAAACAAACTTTTTCAATCAGTCATAATCACCGTAGAGATTGACATGATTATTTCATGATATTGAAAACTATTTGATAAATCATTTCTTTAGTGTTAATGAATAAAATTTATTGGATAAATGCTTAGCAATTCAAGATAGATAACAGGAAAAAACCTATTTCTAAAACTTGTGTTCTCTCACATTTTTTAAAAAAATTTGATTTTAAACACATGTTATTAATCAGTACTTTAGTGTAAAAAATTCTTGCTAATTGAGTTAAGTAATAGTTGGTGTTCTATATATGATTCTATCAAGTAAACAAAATCAGCTTCTAGGTGATGTTATATTATAGTTCAAACCTGAAAACTTAATAGATTTTGTCAATAACCAGTGATTAAAAGGTAATAGCAGACGTCGAAAACTCAATTTTGGAGATCGTTGTAAGTTTGTTATTACTAATAATTAGATAATATAGTACCAATGAAGACAAATGCTGTCGAATTGCATAGTTGCTTGTTTATGTGTTTTACAGAAGAAAAACCGACACACTACTATAAGAGGTTTAAATTGATGCTCTTACATAATATTCGAAAAATAAAACAATGACATACTTGATCTGTTCTACTGCTGGAAGCATTACGAGGCAATCTACGAAGGCTGTGAGAACCACTTGAATACGAGTCACCTAACATTGAAAGGAAAATAACATTAATGAAAACAATTTATTCGAAAGGATTTTATGGAGATTGATTTAATTTCTAAGTAGTATTCATCAAAAATTGACTACAGTTAGGTTATCATTAAAAATCGAGGTTCATTGGACATCTATTTTGTCGTAGTATGGGACTTTAAGATGTTCCTGAAGTCCTAGTGAGATATTGTAATTTGCACAGTTCAGATAGGTCGAGAGATAGACAGTTATTTCCAAGAGCATTGTATAATCGTCAAGTTAAATAACAAATTGATTGAAGTTGAAACGACACAACTGGATCCTGATTCAATGGTTCTAATTATTAGGCGTTAACAGAAATAGATCTGAAGATCCTGGGTTCGATCCCTCGTGAGGTCATAGGTGCACACTACTGAGGAGTTTCATACTAAAATAAGACATATTTAGTTTTGTTTGGTTTTCAATGGTACGCGAAATAAGATCAATCTGTGATGAATAGTACTTGGAAATCAAACCAATGAAAAGAACTTCATTATTGGGAGAGTAAAATCACAGAGTGATACAATAAAAAAAACTTCATTTGCAAATTCGTATGTCAGTAGTAGAATAAAACTAAAATTCTGCAAATAATTTCTCTACGTTTTGCTGTGTTTCTTACACAATGATACATATTTTCAGCTTGTAATTTTCTAAATTCCTTAGCAGTGTTAATGTGGTCTCAGTGAGATCAATATGGCTTAATCCAATTTTCCTGTGAGTATAGAGTTTAATATCGATACGATTTCTCTAATACTCCACAGAATCAAAAAATAATCATACGATTTACATTTCTTTTACTGCTTTTTTTCTCTCTCTCTCAAACGATCAATTATTTCAGTTCCATTATTCTCTATCTTATTATCAGAGATGTTTGAAACAAACGCAAACTTAGTGACTTGAGAAAATTGTCTCACGAAACCATTTTTTGAGTTATTGATCCAATTTTAGAAAAACGAACGTACATAATGGTACGGTCTACATTTTTGTTCTTGTTACATAATGGCTAACACCGAGTTCACTGTCTAATGTTAGTTATCAGTAATAACTAAATGATCATAAAGTAAGCGTGATAATCAATCTGTACCTTGTAGAGCAAGTGCAGTTGGCGTTGTTGTAGCAGAACTACGTCTTAGTCGTTCCATATCAGCTAGAGCTCGATCTCGTTCGGTTTGACTTGTTTCTAGAAGACGTCTAAGACGATCTAATTCTGTATGTAATTGATTTTTTTCTTCTAATGCAGCCATTTTCTCACGTAAATGTGTCTGTAATCGTTCATTAGATTCCAATAGTAATTTGTCAACCTTTTAAACAAAAGATATTGAATTATACATAAAAAACAATCAGGCTGTAAAAGTTCAGCATTATTATTTAAAATAAGTATAAATTACGTAAGTGTAACTCATCCTAGATATCACATTATACTAAGTGATATATCTTCAACCTTAAATTTTCTAACAAGCTATTTTTAGACAAAAAAGGGTTACTTTATTAAAATCGCGAACTGTCATCAGAATTGGTTACCTCAAGTGGTGTTCGTCAGGGCTGTCCACTCTCCCCATTTCTGTTTAACTTTGTCGTTAACATACTTTTAGAGATAACACTTTCATCATCTCAATCTCCTGGAGTTGAACTTTTACCAGGAGGCTCACTTGTTGACTTAGAATACGCCGACGACATAGTTTTACTCGGTGAAGACGCTGACAAAATGCAGTCTTCTGTCTACCATAAGCAACTATGCAGGCATGTTCAGAATGCGATTCTCTCCCTCGAAGTGCAAAATGTTACTTCGGGATTGGGTTGCATCGGCACCTGAACTAGTGATAGGGAGTGAAGTAGTTGAGCGTGTTGACAGCTTCACTTATCTTGAGAGTCTCATCAGCCCTTATGATCTGGTGTGCAACGAAATCTCAGCACGGATACAGAAGGCTCGTCTAGCTTTCGCCAACTCGCGTCATTTATGGCGTAGGCGAGATGTCCGTCTAGCAACAAAAGGACGAGTTTACTGTGCAGCAGTTCGTTCCGTCCTACTTTATGTCTGTGAAACATGGTCGATAAGAGTAGAGGATATTCGTAGGCTACTAGTGTTCGATCATAGGTGTCTTCGAAGCATTGCTTGCATATCCTGGGACCACCGAGTAAGTAATGCAGATGTTAGGAAACGAGTACTAGGTAAGGATAGCAAATCGATTGGTGAAATAGTGAAACTTCATCAGTTGAGATGGCTGAGACGCGTGTTACGTATGCCCAACCACCGACTGCCCCGACGTGCAATGCTTTATGGTGTAGGAGTAGGTTGGAGGAAAGCTAGGGGCGGTCAGATTAAAACATGGCACAAATCCATGATCTCTGATTGGCGGTCTTATCACGTTCGTACGTTAACAGGGCATCTACTTGGCCACAAGTTATAACTGTTTGGTATCTTAGTATTCTGATTGGCCACTAAGGATTAAAGGAATTGTGTGAATTAATTGGAGTTTGAATCTTCAGTCACTGTTCACGGTTATTGGTGATATTAATTAAAGAGGAGATAGTCATTAGTTTGATCGGTGAAAAGTGAAAATATCATGAATAGACTTGATGATAGACTCAGTAGATCCAATTATGTAGGGTATGTAAATGTTTGAAATTAAAACAAGGCTAACATCGATCTACACCATGATTCCGATAAATGTTATAATAAATTCAAACATTCAGTAAACATACCGTCGCAGTTAAACGTGAACTATGATCCTCGTTTAATTGTTCACGTTGTCTAGCTCTTTGTAATTCTGATTGGATTTCATTCATTTCAACTTCCATATCTTTAATACGTTCTTCAGCTGTAGATAATTGTACACGTAATTCATCAACAACTGTCACATTAGGATTATTATTGTTACTGTTATTATTACTAACTAAATGAGAACTTTTGCTGTTTTTATTAGTTTTTTCATCATCGGAAATAGTTTCATTTTCAATAGATTCAATAAATTCGCCACCATTTTCAATAGCTGAGTGTTCTGTCGATGTTGTTGTTGCTACAGTTGCAGGTGTATTCACTTTCTCATTTTGTTGCATTGTATTCACTTTGACAATGGCTAATTCATTTTGTACTGTTTCTAATTCGCTAACCAAATGATTGGCATGATCTTTTGCCTTTATTATTATTATTGTATAATTGAAGTGATAGAAAAAAACATAGAATGATAATAGCAATGAAAACATATTGTTATGAGTACCATGATGTAAATGGTGACGAAATTATCAGATTTCTCAACTAATAAATTGTACAGTAGCTCTTACTCTCTTCCTCGCTCACTCACTTATTCGCTCAGTTTTGATTGATCAATTATGATCAATTAATACGCTCAACATCAGTCTATAAACAGCGAAGATAGGATATGATTGTGAATGAGAAAGTCGTAAGTCCCGTTGTAGGTATGAGGCCAATTGTCCTTTGGAGTTTGTACATACAAATGAAAGAGACTTATTCTTGAAATATGTTAAAAATACAGGGTTACAGAGTGGTTTTGAAGACCTAGGAGCGTGACTACAGTACCCAAAGGACAGTTTCTAAATAAACACAGATAATGAAAGCGTCTCAATATGAAATATCCAGCTCAGAGGGTCTAATGTCACCAAAATATTTGTTATGAGATTTATAGTATGATCAATCTATTTTTTTCAATAATTAATCAGAAAACAATTTAAAGACGAAAGACTAAAGTGCTGGTAAGTCACTCACAATAAATCATCTACAACAAAACTATTATTATGACTAACATTTATTCAGATTCATTTGCATGGCTTAGCAGTACAATAAACACTGATGGTTCACAACAGTTTAATTGGATCATATTTGGGATATGCATCATGGAGTTTGACCTAAACGCTGCACGGTTATACATTTAGCTAACAAGTAGACCAGACATATTCACGTGATAAAGAACCATATAAAAAGTATAAACAGACCATGTATCTTGTCATACGTCCACAATATCCTTTTTTGGAAATATGTTATCCTAGATTGTCAATATACCATAAATCGATTAAAAAAAGGAATTAGTTATAACTAGTGCTTAAACAACCATTACAGTCAAAATCAATAAATTTAAGTTTATCGTTGCATTCTTCCGGAACTTGAAAAAAAAAAATTAAACGTGTTATCCTCACAGTCTACAATGAAACTTGTTTTCTCTCATGAACGCAGAGACAAGATAGTTTTAATACACAAAAAACAATTCTATTGTTACAAACATTTAACTAGAAATTTCATCCGATCAGACAATACTAAACTGGATTTACACAAAATATGTCAAGCAGTAGAAGAAAATAACTTTTTAAGGGAAAGAAGAATTATTTCCATCTCTCTCCCCAAATATCTGTTTGTAAGCATTCTCACTCGAATATTGTCGACCAATTCGGAGTTTGTGCAGAACTGCCGTATGAGTTGTTCACGTTAACTGGAGTTCATCATGACTACCCTCATCATATTTTATGTAATCTCGCCATAGATACATACCTTCAGGGGGCTACTGAATCATCTAACCTTGAAAAGACTGATCTCCAATCCGCAGATTATCATATTGCCTTATAAAGTATAAATATAATTCATAAATGTCCAGCAAATGCACTAGAGTAAGAGATGAGTGGTCAACAGACCAAGAAAATGTATCGATCGATGAGGCCAATAAAGTCAGAATTCCGACACGTTAGGAATTTCTAATATTTGGGTAAGTCTCAGAGCAGTAATAGTAAAATCTAGTTGGAAATATACGGCTACAAAATCAGTTATAGTGAATCAAGTAAATAAATACTTCCTAAATTTCTTCACAAAGCACCTGGCTAAATATATTTTTGTACATTTGACTTATTAGAGGTATTTCAGAGTATGAAACAGAATGACTTGAATACGAACCCAACAGAAAGCAGAACGGCTCCCGAGAATGGCGATAAGTTATGCTGACGAATCCCAATCAGTTGTAAACCAAGTTCCAGGTCCACCTATAACTCCATAACACTTGTTACCCGTTGTAATTTTTCACTATCGAATACATTTACAAATTTATTCTACATCTTATTCACCCAAAGTCATCATATAATACACACATGTGTCGTCGACTACATCTTAAGTGGAACTGAACAACAATAAGGTCGTAAAATGATAAACTAAAACATGATTCGACCGTATAACTTAAGAATGAACCTAATAAGAAGATAAGGACCAAATCAAAATATATATATCACATTTAGGGTAAACATGGTTCGACATTGAGATTGAAAAAAAGATACACAAATAAATGTGATATTGTATTTAGATTAATAAGTAGTTATATACTATTTCTCAATTGTTTTTCATGTTCCTTGCACACCTAAAGAATTTCATGTGACATTGGCAATAAACTCCCATAGGGGCCCTTCTAAGCTTACTGCCAGTCTCAAGCCCGAAAAAAAAGAGAGATCAGAGCATGGAGTCGATAATCTCTTTTCATAAAAAGAAGCTAAAAAACGCTAACCAGAACATCGACAATATTCTAACATATTGTTCAAAATTAAGCAAATTTAGTACATTCACAAACTGTTTATTCTCCCTTACTTGTTTCAATTCAATTTCACGTGTAATCAATTCTGACTGAGCTCGACTAAGTCTATCCAACGTACCAGTAGCTTCACGTTGTGTAGCAAGATAACGTTGTTCCAAAGTTGCGATACGAGCTTCTTGATCTTCACGTTGAGCTTCCAACTCTCTTAATTCTCTTTGTAAACGAGAAATCTGAAAGAAAAAAGTAATATACTTTCTTTAATTTTAGCTTTAATTTTAATGAAAAAAATGTTAGTAACTGTACCACTACATAATCATACAAAGGCGTTTTTCTCCCGAAAAATATAGCATTTATTTCTAATAGAATGTTTTAAGTGGTCCCGACAGATGCCATTAATTTTTTCTAGTCTAGACTGTTGAATATTAAGTGTTGAAACAAATACCAAATTAACTCAGCTCGCAAAATTTGATACCAACAGCAACCCTTTGATGTATGAACTGTATATCCTGCCATCAATCTCGTAGGTTACTAGTATTTGACCACAGATGCCTTAGAAATATTGCTCGCATCTGCTGGGATCATCGGGTAAGTAATAGTGATGTTAGACTCAGGGTATTAGGGAATGATGGTAAATCAGTTGATGAGGTCATGAATCTTCATCGACTGAGATGGTTGGGCCACGTGTTACGTATGCCTGAACATCGATTACCATAGTTGAATGATAAGAATTTACAAAACCTGATTCTGAGCTATAGTTTAAATCTAGCAACTTGTGATACTATCCAATTGCTCACATCAAAGTAAGTATTGCAGGGTTCATAACTACGACCACGAAACAACCACTCCAATTCACCTGAATTTCAACTTACAGTATGACAAACATCATTACTGTTAATGGGTTTTCATTAAACAATATTGCGAAAATGTGAAACACAGGATATCAATTTAATGAAGTGAAAGCGTCATAGTTTCCAGAAACCTTGAAGGTCCAAGATTCAGAGTTAATAGAACACGCTATTTGAGGAGTTTAAAACTACGAAAAAACAACCACATAATATTTCCTGATTTCCAAAAATCCTTCAGTTTATATTGGCTTACGCCGAAAATAAATTTAAGGTATTTCGAAATCCGTTTCTGAGATAGATTTAACAACTATATTCATAAAGTGAACCAAATCATAAATGATAAAACTGTTATGGAATATGTGAGGACAGCTTCCGGTGAACTCAAAGAAGCTCTGAGAGAGCAGAAGACCTCCTATCCAATTATCGTTTAAAACGATATTTCATAATTACGACATGTAGCTTCCCTATTGAACGAATGCTAAATGCCACTGCATGTGGATTGGATGATTTTAATGATGATTACGTTTTTACTAAAAACCATAAATACTCGAGTATTTTTGTACTATATTTGACAGTGTTTGAAATGAGATTCCTTCCCACTCGCCTTCTGTCTTCTAACTTGCAACTTGGAAGATTCGAGTGCTCAATTTGTATGCAGAATAGCGAAAATCCAAGTTCTAGATATAACAGAATAGACAGGTTATGACTAACAGTGGAGTATCCAGGACGCATGTCCCGTTTAATTTAGGACTCATCAGCTGGATCTATCTTCCACATTCCAGTGTTTATGCTCACATTGGAATTCAAACCCAATAACTTTCGCATCAAACAAATGATCAACTGAGTTGCTATTAAGCTCTAATGACCTCTACCTTATTTAACAAGTATACTGTTTATGCCATCATTAAATGAGATTTTGAATAATTCTGCTGTTTAGATTCACGAGTGACTATCTGTACAACTTATTTATTCTAAATCAGAGGAGGTTTTGTGGAGATTTTTCATAGTTGAAATCATGAGTCAGTTGAAGCTAGACTACTATGGAAAACCTTCGTGCACTGGACGGCCGTTTCGTCCTATTATGGGACTCCTCAGCAGTACGCATGCTTGATCCCGCACTCGCGAGATTCGAACCCAGGACCTGCCAGTCTCGCGCCAGAACACTTAACCGATAGACCACTGAGCCGGCATTCAACGGCTGCTCAAAATCGTGGATTGGTTGAAGTTAGGCAATAACACTATTGGTTGCTGGCTCGTTGGTCTATCGGTTAAGTGTTCTGGCGCGAGACTGGCAGGTCCTGGGTTCGAATCTCGCGAGTGCGGGATCAAGCATGCGTACTGCTGAGGAGTCCCATAATAGGACGAAACGGCCGTCCAGTGCACGAAGGTTTTCCATAGTAGTCTAGCTTCAACTGACTCATGATTTCAATTACTTATTCTAATCAAACTTATAAAAAATTAAAATTTTCATATATTGCAAAAAGTAATAATCATCATGAAATTGGAAAACTTCATCATGGATGGAATAAAATATTAAGGGGATGAGAAAAAATATAAAAATATGTTTTTATTCATTACCGTTGCACTTCCATTCTTGATTATTACCATTATCATTATTATTATTACTATTATTATTAGTTCAGTTAAACTTTTAAACCTTTTCTAATGTAAAAATATTTTGACAAGTTAATAGCAGTTTATCGAGTTTCGGTAATTATTTTTAAAAACTAGTTTAGTCTAGGTTGTTTCACGTTAGGTCAGAGAATGTATGTATATATAGCCCTGTTGATTGTTCACATTAATGCTCATATTTCATCTACTGATAATTTAGCATAGATAAAACTGTAATCAGAAATTATTAGACTATTTAGAATAATGCTATTTAGTAGATAGCATCAATATCAATAAAGTTACAGATTGGAACAGATGCTGGAGTTGAACTAATGTGATTTCATGACATTTGAGGTCATTTATCTCCATTCAAATCGAATTTAAGTATATCTAAAATGGTTGTTAAGTAACTGAATGATTTAGAATACTTTCTTGAACGATAATAATTATTTAGTTCAAATGCAAACACAATTAGAAGCTAACATCATACACTTCAGTCATTAAAAAATTATAGTGAAGTAGTACTGTGTAAATTATTATTTAGAACTTGACTTCATTATATCCTAGCGAAAATTAATTTGTGGGTAACTTCTGAGAACTATTTGTGAATTAATATCATACATATATATTGTTTAACTATTAAGAAACTAAACTATAAATATTTATATACCTCATAGTATAAGTTTCTACTTAACCTTTTGGCTACTGTTACATGATTTATTATTCCCAGGTTATTCGCAATCTGTTAGTCCCAGTTTTTTCACGATCACAACCACTTTTGGCTTGATCTTGCACAAATGTTATTTTCTATTTTATGGTATGATGTGGTCTGATTTTGCCTGTATACAAACCAAGTATGTTTGAAATCTATGATTCGATATAACGGAGGCTGATATTTGCGTTTTGGACTAAACCGCCGAGTTAGACAAGAAGCTACTACCAGTAGGACCAATAAGAACTCTAGGCTGCTCGTACTGATTTATGCGTCATTGGTTAGGTCAATAAATCGGTGACTCTAATTAGCCATCACATCGCGTGATATATTAACAGGGTAAAAAGGCCACAAAATTATAACAGACTTCAAGTGTGACACATTTACATTAAACACTAAATTATAGAAGATAATAGTACAACAAACAAACAAGTAAAACAATAAAATACAACACACATTTGTCTTTACAAGTCACATTTACCTGATCATGAGCACGTGATAATTCCTTTTGTAATGTTGTATTAGATGCCTCTAAATCTCTAGATTTTGTAGTGACTTCAACAAGTTTACGTTCAACAGCTACAGCACTGGCAGCAGCAGCCGCTGCAGCTGCAGCAACTGATGCAACTGTTTTTGCACCGGAATTTTCTGAAGAATTCACTGCTGATGAACTTTCATCGTTTGAATCTTTTGATGTGATTGGTGGTCCACCTGGAGGTAATGAGGCTAGTTTATTGCCAACATCATTTCCATCAACATCATCTTTACTGATTTGTGTGATATGATTAGAATCAACTGATTTAAAGACAAAAAGAAATTACAAACCATAAAAACTGTACGAACACCTAATGTTTAACAACATAGGTAATTAATGAATTTTAGAAGATACTGACTAAAGTTATTTATTTAACATTTGATATGAAACTGAAGTGTGGAAGAATTCAACTTTTTACAGGTTTCAAGAATGTATTAAGTGGAAAAGTCCTAAACTATTTATTGCCTAGTGATAATCTTGCTAGTACCACATTCATTAGTGGTACAATTTAATAGAAGAACCTTAATAAAGGCAAAACTAGTGTATCACATCCATCTACTTTCTTTCTATCTTCTCTACAAACATTATAACAGCAAAGTGATTTGTTTCTGCTTTCCTATGATCCTCCTGATTACAGTTCATCCGAATTTCAACATTTTATCGTATTACGCTGAGACTTCCATTTTTTTCAATCTTCCATCTTCATGATGAATATTCAAGCTATCAACAACAAAAATATCATTGGTTTCCCTAATAAAAATAACATTTTTCATACCTTTGTTTGCGCTATTTCACTATTACCACGTTTAGCGAAATTTTTATGATGACTATAATTGTCATTAATATCATTTTGAGAAAAAAATTAAGTAGATATTTGCAATTGTACAGCTTTGAAAATGAATTCGTCGCAAAGAGAATTCCTCGCTGAACCAATCTTTCTTATTTGATATCTCAAATGGGTATATTTTGTTTACACTCATAATTGTCATTTTTCCTTTTTTTTATTTCTACTAAATGTAATATGATTTTATAGGAATTAAGAATGAAATCAACCCGATCGATTGCAATGATTATAAAATTTCGTTGTAAATTTTCTGGTGTATAGTCGAACAATGGAACGAGCAATGATATATATATATATATATATATATATATATATATATATATATATATACTAGGCTAGATAGTCCCCCAGCATATGAGACAATTGTTACCGAAATAAATAGTTGAGAAAAGAGTTATTTATGCCAACTAAGTGATACGACGTTTGAAAATTAGGCTTAACAGTTAGGTCTTCAACAAAATGTGGAAGGAGTGACCTACATGTTAATTCCTTCCAACCACCTACAGCATTTTATATTGTACACAAACATTTTATTTTGACACAAAAGTTCTATTCATCGGATCTGGTTTCCTTGATTTCTAAGCACTAAATGATTTGCGTCAATAATACAGTTTAGTAAGTACCTATCATTCAGCCACATCATCCAACGACTAATATTCCACTCATTGATTATGAGAATAGAGGGATTTCGTATCGTCAATTGTTAAAAAGACTCCTTCATAACGCCAAGTCACCAACTACTTCATTGTGTTATATCTGCGGGATTAGAAGTGAGACATTAAAAAAGACCAACCTTCTAAACTACGCAAATTATTCACTAACCAATTGTTGCTGATTCTTTTAAAATGCTATTTACTGCTTCTTCTACTTTCCATTACTATTCGCATTACTACTTCATTCTCTTTTTCATTTTGTTAATTCAAATCATGACAATTTCCACTAATTCACTTATCTTTCAGGTCTTACTTTAAGTTTATCTTTCTATGTCTTAATTATAGATTAAGTTAAAAAGTTAAAAGTTTATATGTACCATTTTCATGAATGTTTTTTAACAGAAAACAAACACCTAAATGATACTCAAAAAATGGTACTCAAAATGAAAATATTCGACTTCTAATAGTGAGTAAATAACAATTGAATTGAACAATGCTGAAAAGAAATAAACAATGATAATGAACCAAAATTAAATACTTTTCAAAATAAAATAACTTACCATTTCCATTTACAGATGATGCAATTTGTTGTTGTTGTCTTTGTTGAACTGCTGTTGCAGCAGCAGCTACACCAGCTAATGCTGCAGCTAATTGTTCTCTTAATGCAGCACGATCAGCAGCAGATGAACGTACTTCTTCTTCTAATTGTGCACCACGTTCTAATGCTGTACGTAAACGTTCACGTACACGTTCATCTAATGCTTTATGATGTTCAAATAATGATTTTAATGCTTTTAATACTTCAACTTCAGAACTAACACCACCAGGACTATTTACTTGTCGTTTTACAACTGTCATTCTTAATGAACGTTCATGTCTAGCAACTAAACATTCTAAATGTTCTAAAAGAAGCTGAGATAAATCAATTAAAAACAACAATAAAAAAAGGAAGAGATCTTATTCTGTTATTAAAATATGGAATAATATATTTGATTAATCAAAGTTTTTTATAGATTACAATATGATAAATCGACCGTAGTTAGGCAACCACTGAAAATCAAGAAGCACTGTAGAGTTGTATTATAAAATTATAGGAATCCTTAACACATGGGCCACCCCACCAACGAACAAATCCAGAACTTGCAAATTATATTACAGGAGCCTAAACTTCATACTAGTAAATTAGTGAATTAATGTAGGGTATATATACAAACTACTAAATCTTGACTCAATGATCTAAAAAACTCAACAAGAAATCCAAACGTCTAGTGATCGATCCAAAGTAGAAATATGTATATGCACTGATGACGAGTCCCAGATTAGGACGAAATAGTTATTCATTGCCATCTAGTTCTTAATAATACAACCTAAGATCACTCCGCGATATAGACTTAAAAACCTAAAGGTTACCAGAAACTCCATAAATTAATAAAATACATATTATTTAAAGATTTCTCTTATGATAAAAGTAGCAAAACTGATTCACTAAACAAAAATTAAAGAAAGTTATCTACCACCTAAAAAGTTGTTATTAACGACAAAACGAAATATGTTGAGTTATTTAACAGAATAAAAATAATCAAACAGTTTATCGACTTTGGTGTCATGATCATCAACATTATCATTTATTTACTTCATAACCTACAATTTTACACTATTCATAAATCGACTTAAATGAAATTAAACACACAATACCTTAATCTAGTTACAGCTTGTTCAATGGCAAATTACAAAAATAGTATTAACAAACAATAGGTAATGATAACATTCTTTTTAGAGGGATACTAGTTTCCTTTCAGTCGAGGATTGGTTAGTTTACACATTCATAAAGTTCAGTGATCTGGTATAATCATTAGAAATCTAAGATATATGGTTTCTTATTGTTTTTACTCCTAATGTTTAAAAGTAATACATGAGTATGAAGCAGTGAATCTGAGAGTAACTGAAATTAATCTTTAAAGAGGGTTTACACAGGAATAAGTGTCAAAAAAATTTGATAATTACGATTTGGAAATATGGTTAAATATTATACACGTCAACTTAAAAAAAAGTTTTTTTTCACCAAAAGCTTTTAGTTTTTAGCATCAAAACTTAGCTTTTCATTAGGAAGAAGCCTGTATAGCATCTCATGATATAATCGTTTCTTTATAAGAAAATGATCATTGAAGAAGTCTGGAAAAACTACAAGTCAGTGTAACAATCAAACACAATTTATTAGTCTAGTGCATTCGATCATTTAGGTTATATAACATTAAAATTTTATTCTGCTCTCCATTTTTTAGTGTTGTATGTTTATGTGTGTATGAGTGAGAAACGATTGACTGTTTGCTTTGCTATCAAGCAAACTTTCCCCTGAAACAACTATTATCGTTTGCTGATCCATAGATGCCCAGATTAGTCGAATATTTTTAAGTATCTTTCTTCTAAAATGTATATTCAAGAGAGTAACTCACACAGTTATAATGTGGTTAGAAGTCTAATAAGTCATAAGCGATGTAGAACCTGGTGTATATCTGGATCTTTTTAAACTGTAACAGCATAAAAACGAAGCTAGATGAAACGATCAGGACTAATCCAATAGTAGTACAATTAGTGACAATATCAGTTGTAGGAGAAAGGATTAAACAGAGACAATATGATTCGAAAATAATGAATTCTCCGGAAAAGTATAGGATAAGTTTAAAACCTAAGACCTAAAGGAAGATAGGGAGTGAACGCATCAGCATCACTCACCATCAACAATCACTGGCTAGAAGTTAGATTTAATAGATGAAGTTCAAACTTGGGAAAATATAAAAATATAACTAAATAAATCTGAGGAACAACATACCCTTGTATTATTTCTTTCCGATTTCAATTCAACAATTTCTTCTTCTCGTTCAGAAATCTGATCACGTAAACGATGTACTTCTTTGGCCAGTAAAGATAAATCCTACAAGTGAATAAACAATAAAAGCACTATAAAAATTTTTTTGAAGACTAGAATCAAGAAAAGAACAAAATCTTGAAATCAGTATAAAACTGTCTTAAACAATGAGGCTTCACACTATATATATCTAGAAGGCTAATTTACTCATTACCGATTGGATATGACCAAATACTGCACGGAACATACTATGAAATGCTCAAATATCAAAACCGTTATACCAGAAAACTCTAACCTGTGTAGTAATAAATATATTTTATGTGCTATCCCAATGAGTAGAAAATTTTATTTGTGACCTTTCGTGACTAAGTATAAGTTACTCTGAAGTGTCTTACATTAAGTTATAAAACATGAGAAATACAATTTCCTACTCATTGGAATATGAACAAAAGTATATTTATTATTAACTTTCTATCCGATGCTCAATTTACTTGAAAGTAATAAGAAATCTATGAATTACTTAGGCGTTCATTAATAGCGATAAAAGTATTTTCAGAAACGAATAGTGTTTCATACAGTGGACAAAGAATATACTGTCAATCACATATACATATTAATAGGTACCTGTTGAGACTTAGTATAAAGCCAGCCAAAAGATACCTAAAGAATTTGCAAAACCTTGGAGTGACATAAGTGTATCAATCAAAATTGGCTTAATTAAAGACAGAACAATAGTGAGTAAATTATTTTTAATAATCTATATGAATTCACTAAACATTGATCTCTATTATATAGGAAGTTGCTAGTTTTTTCCGTATGATTTTGTTATTTTAAATAATAGTACCATACATTTTAATATGATAAGTTTGTAGTTCATTTCACCCAGTCTTAGTCTAGATATTATCAACCATCTTTTAAAGCACGTATGCACATCGTATGATGAGTCAGTGTATTTGATGATTCAGGTACATAAATTCATCAACTGATCTATAATAAATTTCATCCCAACCCCATGTATATAACCCCAGGAACCACACATTAAGAGAATCTACAATGGGTAAGCAGTAGTTGTTACTAAATGTCTTCCATGTATATACTATCTACCTTCACACGACGAATCAGCCAACTGTATATTAGTATAATCACTTCAAATCTTTGCATACCATTTAAAATACGCATCACAGAGAGTTAATAAAATTTTCGTTTGAAAAAGTTGTACGAATTTTCGATTGATTATAATGGTTTGATATACATATCCTGTTCGTTTTCGATCAGCGAAAAAGTAATGAGATTTCGGTATTCATCCTACAAACTAAACTGATTACCATTGGTGCATACTGAGTATAGTAGATATCAATTACCATCTACGTCATAAAAATATCTAAATTTAAAGTATAGTACTGTCCACTTAAACGCCATATAACTAGTTGTTAGAAATAGATAAGGAAAAAAACCCATATATTCACTAAACTATGTTTTTTTTCTACACCATCTATCATAATTGACGCAGTAATAAGAATGATACCAAAGTTCAAAGAACATTTTAAAATGTTTGTATATGCATATAAACATCACTGTATATTAGAGTAGATTCTGATGAGGATCTAATCGAAAACAATATTATTCACTCATATATTTTGTTCTAATAACAGAGATGTAAACAAAATAGTCTTACAGCAAAATTGTATTTTCTTTCGTGAAAATAATAAAAACATAACTTATCAAATAAGTTTGTATTTATAAGTGTTTATGGATGATGATAATGTGATGTATGAGAGCAATATCAATTTAATGCTTTATTCGCCTCTCTTTACCAATTTACTATATACTTTGATAAATAACGTCAGTCAGTTCTGACTATGCATATAAGAATTACAACTGCTGAAGAATTAAATTTGAAAAAAATCCTAAAATATTTCTATCAAGAAAAAGAAGAAGAGCAGATATGCAAAACGACAAGATAGACCAAAAAGAAAAACTTTAAAATTAAGGTATGGGAAGTAATCACAAGCAATAAAAAGTTTAATCACTGTCAGAAGTGAAAAGATTGATTTTTCATCTTATCCCATACTTATATATCGATATTACGTATTAAACACCTGTTGTATGTTGTGAACAATAACCAAATTAAATATGAATAATTAAATTTGCCAGCCAAAATGAACAGTTGTGAAATGTGATTATGAATATACATTGCCTCAAATTAATCATTAAATCTATCTTGAATAATAGTTTAATTAGTTATGTTATTCAATAATTCATCATGAAATCTACATTAAATTGAATTCAAAGAAATACTATTTTCATGATGATATTTAACAAAATGTTATACTCAGTGTAGATACTACATTCTTCAACAGAATTCCTGATAGTAATAATCATTTAAAATTTCAAAAAATATAAAACCGCTTCATTTATCATCAATTTATGTGGACTTAATGTGGCTTAATGAATAATCCACTGGGCTCTCAATCAAAGAACCCCAAAAGTTCAAATATCATTCCATTGAATTCAGTCTGAAAAAATGAACTGTATCACTAGCCCCCATATATATGCATACATATGGATTTCGAACTAGATTATACGAACCTGTACTTGGTATACAAATGTAAATTATTATTAGCAATACTGAGTCTAACTTAATACGGTATATTTACATAGACAAACACAACTGACCAGTAATTTTTTAGATATCAAAAACCTAATGACGTAATTAATGGGTAAATTTGACAGTTTCATAGGTCTATTAATTTAAAAAATTGTACTAGGAATTTCGATCTCATCTACTGAAAAAACGAGACTTTTAATCTTTACATCATCTTTATCAAAAAAAAAAAGAAAATAGTTAGGTTATAATTTGAAATTAATTGATAAAGAAACCAAAAACCTTATTTGATGTTATTAATAAAACAATCTAACTATAGTTTATACATATAACATCTATCTATTAATTTTTCACTGAAAAACCTGTGAAAGGTGACCTAAATAATGAGGAAAATATGTTGTATATTATTATATCATTCACAACAGCAACTATTTTTTAAACACACAAGTATATGCACAAACAAACACTTTAGTATAAAATAACAATCAACTTTCAAATGAACTCATATTAAGTAATATGATCTAAATGGCGTTTTTTTTTCTTTAACCTTATCTCAACGACAGAAATAGTTCACATAATTTGTACAAATAATACAGACCACATAATATAAATATTGATAATAATAATAATTATTATTATTATTACTATTATTATCATGAAACAAATTACCAAGTACAGACTATTGCATTTGTCATTGAGCCCGAATTAAAATAGGTGGAACAGGATTCGCACCTATGACTTAGTTAATGTAAGTTGAACGTCCTAACCACTGAACTACCGCACTATATTGTATTATATGATAAATTGGTATTATGATAATGACTAAATTTGTCAGGAACAAAAAACGTATCACTCTAACAAATATTTTGAAAGCAATTATAGTTCTATTTATTACGCATTTCTTCTCCCCCGTAAGTAAGCATTGAAATTGTTAGTACCAATAATGAATAAAACGCCTAGTTGAGAAAGCACTGCTTGTTATTAGATTCGACTACTGGGCAAATTTCCTGGTTGGAGCTCACTTTTTCTATTCCAACAAATATTACATAGTTGAACCAAATATAAATGTAATGTGAGTATTTGCAATAGTTCATACTAGTACAATGTCGTCTATGGATACGATGGGATAACCCATATAGTAATCCATGATTTCAACAGGTCAGAGAAAACATTTACGGCAAATGCACGACATCAGTATCAGTTTACATTGGCACTCTTTGAAAATACATTGAGAATTAAAACCGAATCAATCGAAAACGTAAATAATAGAAAATATTTAATGACAATTTAATAGCAAACAACCAGAAGAAAATGTCTTAGATAAAAAATCAAAACAGGGAATAAATGGCCTAGTTCTAAAGGTGATTAGTAAGGAGGAGAGTGAATAAACTCATCGATGTTACTGAAAGCTGAGTTTATATATACGACATAAACCTGAAACATTGATTCTAGTTACGATCACAAAGTCCACAGATCACGCACACTTGAAGAAAGTGATAGTCAGATGAACAATAAACTTTTTCTTCATAAGCCCAATCAAGCATTCTTCCATATCCATTCAAAAATATCAGCTAATATTTAAACTAAAGTAAAAATCTCACAATTACATAGATCCAATCACAATCGATTACAACCAGATTTCTAATCATAATGAATACTTCAAAAATGAAGCAAAATTATAAAGGTAAATGAAAAGCCCATTAAGGCAGATGAAAATAAATTATCTTCATTATCAACTTATTATATTGTGATGTTTAATTGTTCAAATATTCAGTCACTTTAATCTTAAACATTGCAGCATCCATCCACACATAACACATACACACAAAGAGAAAGCGAAAAATCATGCAGTATAACAGCAATGCAAGATACAACACAGTTTATAACAGAAGTTGAATCTATTCTCTTTTAATCGTATTGTTACTACCACTAAGAGCACCACTTTTCAGTTAATAAACACAGAAATTAGAGTAAAGAGTACCGATGAATGGATAGCATGTTTAAATAGCATTCCTAATCTTCAATATAGGATTGTGTAATGTCTTGGGTTGATTGGAAATCAACTTTAATTAGAAAGTCAGTGAAAAGTAACAAACACTGAACAGCTGATTCAGCATGGTATGTAGCTTCCTCAGCAGTAAGTCAACGATCCTATCAGGACTTCAGTCCAGAACTTTCAGGCCACTTAACCTTTACACTTCCAATTGAAGTGATTGCTGGAGCTCCAGAAAGAAGCCGTGACCGTTGGATACCGGCTCAGTGGTCTAGAGGTTAAGCATTAGCGCGTTAGACTGAACGTCTTGAGTTTGATTCTAAATTGTGGATTCATCGATGCGCACTACTGAGGAATCTCATACTAGGACAAAACGGCTATCTAGTGCTCCCACGTTTGTAATGGTTGTCCAAATTGTATCAATTCGTGATTTCGATGAAGTTAAGCAATCTCCACAATCCCATACTG